ACAGCTTGTGGCTTCACAACTGGGTGCCCATTGCACATGCGCGAGTATCGCTACGCTTCCTGAATGGGCCCCGTTGTCTTCTGGGATCTGTCACATAAGACTTCGGGGAGAGGAGGGTAGGAGGACAACTTCTGTTTTCGATCGCCTAGGCGATCACAGCGGGAGTGGGTACCTGTCAAATTCAGGTAACCGTTCCCCCTGCTCCCCAAAGGCGCCAATCCTTAATGGGGAGCGGGGAACCAATCTTTAAAGCGGAACTTCCCCTTTTGGGTGGAGCTCCACTTTAATAATAGACTTCACGGTGCTTTTATGCATCGATAAAGCTCTTTTCATGCTGAGCTAATCAAAATGATCACAGCTGAAAGTCAAATGGCTGTGTGCCATTGAAAAGGTGATTAGCTACTCCTGATTGGGTTTACAAGCCATTTTTAGGAGGGGGTGATGCTTTTTTTCAACTTTCAGTGTTTTTTTTTTTTTTAATTTAAAAAAAAAAAAAATTCTGGCATGTTGGTGTTATATCTTTCACTTGCATGTTAGAGGTTGCAAATATAGCTGGATAAAACAAAAACTTTGTTTTCAGTTCAGGTTTCAAAACAACAAAATGTGGTTATTTTGAAGGGGGTATAACTTTTTTCTATACCTACTGTACATACAGTATACAGCTCTGTGTTCCAGGAGCTGGTCAGGAACTGCCTGTCCCTCTCCTGGAACAAAATCGAGTTGGGCTAAGTGCTGCTCAAACATTCACAGGGAACTTTGTATTGTATGAATGAATACAAAAATTCCTCTGCGTCAGATTGTGATGTCATCTGCTTGCCTATCTGCCTCAGCCGATAGGAGGAAGCTTTCCACTCATTCAGAATATAAAGCTCCCTGTGAATTGCTGCGTAGCACTCATCCTGACTTAGGTGTCCGTTTATGAACCAGCAGTAATAGATCGCTGCTCAGTTCTCCGGTATTCTCAGAGAACACAGTTCTCCTGTGAATGCCGTTTATGAAGCATATGTAGATAAGTTCTCCAAACGAAGGGAGAACGGTCTACAAACTCTGGAAAACTGCTGATTTTACTATAATCTCGTGAGATTACAGTAAAAGATCAGTTTACTAAGCAGAGGTAAATTATCTCTGCTTAGTTTTCGGTCCCTCCGATTCTCCACCTCTGGGCTGGAGAATCTGGAGGGAGAACACAGATCTCCAGAGAAGGGCTGAACATATTCTACTGGTTCATAAACTTTATGACACAGAGAATAGCTGAGATTCAGAGGATCGCAGCTATTCTCTGGTCATTCACAGACACCTTAGTTTTGTTTGGGAGCAGGATGGTAAGTTCCCATCCCATGGCCAGAACACAGTGCTGTGTACTGTGTGTGGCTGTTACACATGTACATAGTTACATACATAGTCTGGCTGAAAAAAGACAAAAGTACATCCAGTTCAACCATAGAAGGAAAAGCACAATCCAATTTGCACCTGCTGGGAAAAAAATTCCTTTCTAATTCCCCGAGAGGCAATCTGATATTCCCTGGATCAGCTTTACCTATAAATTGTTACAGGTTATACAGTGCTCACACCTGCATCTGTTAGTGACGTAAAATGTCCATGTGGACCACGCTGGTCTAAAAGAACTATTTAAATGTGAAGTTAGGCTTTAGTTTATTTTTCTTTATTTTATCTTTGGGTTCTTCTAATGCCGTTATAAACAGTGTATCCAGACTGGCTGTGTGGTCAGTCTGTAGTGTTGCTTCAGGCCCTGGACCCCACATGGGCACGTAATACGGCATTTGGTGTAACAGGCAGTGTCAGGCGCAGGGTGTTATACTGGTCCAGTGCTGTGGTTAGTCACTATGGAACCAAGTCCCTGAAGACCCCTGCTGGGGTATGCCTGCCAAAGCCTGGACTCCACATACAGTCCAGCTTTGTGGGCCAGTAAAATAGGGTTTACCCTGTATCTCTGACCATTACTGCAAAAATGGGGCATTTTTAGAATGTATACAGCTCGCAGTGTAAATGTTTCAAACGTGTCTAAAATTCAGCTACTCAGTGCTTAGTCTCAGGTGGAAGACCAGGTGTTGTGTGACATCACTGGTTGCACACTTTACAGCCTAGAGCCCCTATAAGGTATTTTTGCCCTTTTGCTATGAGGATTCGTTAAAGGATGGTCTACACCTGGGTTACTGCGTATTCCTTCAGAACTCGCTTTCCGTATACTTTGCTACCTAATCCGTGAGTACCCTACAGGAGAAAACTCATTTTGTAGCTATAGTAGAGACTCAAGTGAAAGAGTCAGTGCAGAACTGCACATGATCATTTGCTTTGCTGTAGGCCTGAACAATATTTAACCTATTGGCCTATTTCGCTAAAGCAGAATTGTCTGTATCTGTCCCATTTCTCAGACGGATTATGGCCTTAATGCAGCCAGCTTCAGCCAGAGCCCAAAAATACTGCACCTCTTCTCCTACTCCCCATTTCTAATCCTGCGTTGAACCCCCCCCCCCCCCCCCCCCCCCCTCCTCCTGACCCTTTATGTTGAAGAGAGTGCAACATATTTGCTGGCGTTGAAAATTTAATTGCCTCTGTTTGTGAAAGGTTTGGTATTGTGCCTCCTGACTTTCTCCTCCATCTTGTCATGTGACTTTGGGTATAAAAAGATTTGCAAAAGCCTGCAAACCATCTCCTGTTCACAAACTGGTCAAATCTGCAGTCTTTGATAACTGGGTTATTCTGGACACAGCGTAATGCAGATCCTAGTAATCGTGATCACCATGCAATCACATGGTCACAATATTAGCAAAGCTGTTGCTGTTAATAATCAATCTGACTCATAACAGCTTTGCTTCCCTTCCTTGTGAGCTGTGATTGAGCCATAGCTTTCCAATGGTACATGGGCCAATCCCTGCACCCTGTTCCATGTGATTTGCTGTAGCCAATCACAGATCACTAATATTTTGAACTGCCATGAACTTAGTTTGTTCATGACAGTTCAAAGCAAGTATTGCATTGCAGGAGCCCTAATCTTTATAGAAAAAAAAAAAAAAAAAAAAAAAAATCTCTGAATCAACTTCAAAACCTAAGTTCAGTTTTTTGTTATTTTACACAAAGCTTGGCCCCAAAGCCCTACTAACAATGACAGTGTCCTCAGCTGTGTGGATGATGTCATTTATAGGATTCCCTCTGGGTATCAGACTTCCCAAACCTGTGGTTTGAAATGAGTACAAAATAGTTCAAAACTCTACCACCCCACTGGGTTTTTTTTTTTATTTTTTAAATTGACCAAAAACTGCTCAAGGAGAATTGGATCTGCAGAATGCCCAGAACCACCACTTGTCCCAAGGAATTCAGCTAGTACTGCCACAAGACAAGGCTTCTACTCAAACCTGTTTACGGTACCAGAGCCCAATTAGGATATATAGTCTATTCTGGACTTAAAATCTCTCAACACATTTCTTCAAATTCCAAAATTTTGCTTGGAGTCAGCAACTGCATCTCTGAAACAGGTCTACGTTGTAACCATGGACATTCAAGATGCCTATCATGTTCCGATTTACCCACCTTCTCAACTCTTCCTGTGCTTTGACAACCAAAAATCAATCTGCATAGTCCCAAAAACATTTATAGCGTGGGTTGCAGACATACACTGAAGAAATGATTTTGCAACACCTAATAAATTTACCATCAAAGTGCAGCTCTACCCAAGAAAATAAAAGTATATCACACTCTGTTATAACTATCCAATATTAGTAAGTGAACAGTATGTATTACCATAGATCATATGATCTTCAAACCAACACAATAATACACAATTCCAATCAGACAATACAAAGTGAAATTAGTCGTCTGTGAAATAGGTTCTAACAGATAGAAGGAAATCTGCAGCAGTCAATGATTGGTGGTATTCCCACTAACACACAGAAAAAAAAGGAAAGCCCTCCACCCTGTTATCTAGATCTAAGACCTTCAAGGATGGAGGGGGAGATCACAGAGCACACTTCCAGAAGTCAGTGAACTTGAGTTCATTCATCAGAAAGCCAACAGTAACAGCCAGGAGTGTGTAAATACCCTTGGTTGTAACCATACATTGGTGGCAGTAAAAGGGATAAAGCACTTTCACTGCTTGTTCAGAATATTTGTATACTTGTAGCATGCATAGTCTGGGAACAGGTTAACTTTAAAATTGAGCTCTATAGAGTCAGATATAGATACAGAGCGGCATTCATTTGTGTATTTTATATGTGATGTGTAATGTGTGTATAAAAATATATACAATGTGTGTGTATATATATATATATATATATATATATATAATAAAATAAATAAAAGGGATGCACCCGTACCAAGTATTTTCATGAATACTTGTGAAAATACTCCTGATACTTTCACCGATACTTTGCAATGCCATTTGCGTTAATGGACACAAATTGCACCGCAAAGATTAGCATGCGATTTGAACAGTCCAAATCGCATGCGGTTTCCCCACTGCTCCTATGTTAACACAGGCTTGTCATAGCACAAGTTCACACAGGAGGGATGCGGGAAACCTCCATGCAGACATCCCATGCTGACTCTCAGTGGTAGGAGAGGAGAGAAAATAGCGGGAATTTGAAATCCCTGCTGCTTTCTTTCCTCTCCTTACAGGGATGACAATTCGGGCTAGAGGACTTTTGATTGGTCAGCACAGTCACACAGCCAGGGGTAGCATTGGCAACTATCATCTTGGATTAAGTATTGAGCATTGCACTTCGGCAAAAGCTCAAAGTGAGAGGCATACATCTTCAAATACTAAACAGACTACAGATGACCTGTTTCCCCATCCAGCTCTTTCATCTCTTACCCAGTCTGCTTCTTCATCTCACCACTCTGTAACATGCACTCCCTACGCCTCCTCACAGTTGTATCCTCTCTCTAGAAACTCTCTTTCCTTCACCCCTCTTCTCCACTCCACAGCTTATATATATATCAGCCTCACTCCTGTCTTCACCTTATTACTGAACTCATCAACTCCTGCTAATTCTGAACCCACATACTATTAAAACCTCCAGGACGATGGGACCTGTCCCTCCATAAGTCATACTCCCATATTACCTCTCTCACCCTTCTGCTTGCCCTAACATCTGGAGACATTTCCCCAAATCCTGGTCTGCCATTTTTTTCATTTGACCAACACATCCGGCACCCCCTATCCTCTTAACAGCAGCCACAATCCACACAATCTGGTTACTATTCCTCTTCTTCCTAGAACCAGCCTCCCCTTTTCCTGTGCCCTTTGGAATGCCCGCTCTGTAACAAACTCACCTCTGTCCGTGATTTTTTTTTATCACTAACTCCTTTAACATACTTGCAATTAAGGAAACCTGGCTTCATGAACCTGACTTTTCCTCTCCTGCTGCCCTCTCCCATGGTGGTCTCCTCTGGACTCACTCTCTTACTGTAGGCCTAGTGGACAGAAAGAAGGTGGAGTTGGAATTCTCCCATCCCCTCAAAGCACTTTCCAGGTCCTTCATTCACCTCCGTCTCTGTCCCTCTCCTCATTTGAAGTTCACTGTATTAATCTGTTTTCTCCAGTTTCTTTATGAATTGCTGTGATCTATTGGCCTCCTGGACCGGAATCGAATTTCCTTGATTACTTCTCTGCCTGCCTGGCTGCCTTACTTCTGAAATTCCCACAATCATTCTCGTTGACTTCAATATCCCTGTTAATCTTAACACTCCTGCTACCTCTAAACTTGAGCCTAACCATTTCTTTGACCTAAAACAATAGACACATGCTTCTACATAGTCTAATGGTAACTGCCTTGACCTTGTATTCTCCTACCGATGCACTCTTTGCAACCTCACCAACTTTCCTTTTCATCTCTCTGATCACTCCCTTATTAGCTTCACTCTCTCCTTGGCTTCCTCCTCCTTGTCTTCCAACTACCGAACAGTTACCCATAGAAACCTTCGATATCTTAACCCTTCTCTTCTTTTTTTCTGAAACAGTCTCTATGACAAAATCTCAGCCCTGTCCTGCCCCAACCTGGCCTCTTCTCTCTACAACAGTTCACTGTCATCCACCGTGGAGACATTGGTCTCCCTCACTACACACAGAATTAGGCCCGACCACGACAGCCCTGGCAAACAGACAATACCAGATGCCTCAATAAACATAGCCGTGCTCTTGAGCGTTTATGGCGTAAGACTAAGAGCCAGCAAGACTTTGACCAATATAAATCTGCCCTTCAAAAATACAATTCCTGTCTCCACACTGCCAAACAGACCTATTTTATCACTCTCATTAACACCCTCTCACGCAATCCCCATCAACTCTTTTCTACCTTTATCTCTCTTCTTTGTCCTTCTTTACCTCCATCCACTAACTCACTCACTGCCCAGGAGATTGCTAATCACTTTTAAAATAAGATTGATACAATTCGTGAGATCTCCACTGTACAGATATCTCCCTCACCCTACACTCTTTGTCTACCTGCACAATCTATACTTCCCTTGTTTAACCCAGCTACTGCAGAGGAGGTTGGTAAACTTTTTTCTAAAGCCACCTGTCCCCTGGACCCTGTTCTCTCGAAAATACTACAGTCACCCTCTGGCTCTATCCTTCACTCTTTAACTCCTATCTTCAATATCTCTCTTTCTACTGGCATCTTCCCCAACTCTCTAAAACATGCGCTAATAACTCTGTAGAATTTTCTGGGACACATAATTTTTAGTGTCTTTAGGTGATTTCAGATAATTAAAGAGCCGGCTAAATAAAAATAAAGTGTGATTTTATTGTATCACACATTGGCTTAAAAATACAATGTATACCGTATCATGAATAACAGTTCAGTGTAGGTAAAACAAAAATATAAAAACAGTAGTTATAAAGATGTGTCAAGCTTAGTCATGGCTGTCCTGCCATGTGCTTCTTGTCTGTTCAATGCAGCATGAGTGATCAAGAAGAAGGAAGTGACGTGATCTTAGGTCTCTAAGAATGCACCTGTTTAAGCTTGTCAGTATGTGAATAACCATAGAAATGTGTCTTCATGCGTTGCTTGTGAGTGTCTTTGTGTCTGTATGTGTGTGAATGGACGGACATGTGTATGTATGTGTTGTGTGTCTCTCCATCTCTTAGGTTGTCTTTTTATGTTACATGTAGACGTTTAATTCTCATAACTCAGAACCTTGTATGGCAAACAATTCTGCTTTGTAGAGTGATTTAATTGAAGGGAGGGATACTACATATATGGTCTTTTGATTGACAAGCCTTTATGTTACTCTCTATTTTTGATCTAAAACATGACTTCATAAGTTAAAGATGACAATGTTGCATCAGCCTACTCATGTGACCAGTTTCTCTGTTCGAAGGATAGTATAACTAAGAATCTATTTTTATAACATAATATTGTTAACAGCTCAATATTGTTGTATAACCAAAAATCTCCTTATGTAACACATATTACCAACTTATAAAACATGAATTAAACACACACAGATACATTATTTCATAATAATTCTATTTTGGTTCACTTCTGACTCCCATGATACCCTACACCAGAGATCTTCCAACCGGGTGTGCCCATCTACAGAAATGTCCTAAATACTCAGCTTCCAGCTAGTTAACTTAACTCCAAATACCCTAACATATTTCTGGCTCAGCTATAATGGAAGAATTCAACACTTGTCACTTGTTCAAGGCCAACCACACAGTTTAATATGTATTATCATTAATCCATAAAAAAACAAATATTTTGCAAGCTTGCCATAAATATAAGTGCCGAATTATGAATTTAGCATTACTATTTAAACACCCCTCCCATACTTAAAAAGGCCTCACTGGACCCCACCAATCTTAGCAACCTAAGACCCATCTCCTTACTCCCTTTTGCCTCCAAACTCCTTGAACATCTTGTCTACAGGTGGCTGAGCTGCAACCTCATTGAGAATAACCTTCTTGATTTCCTTCAGTCTGAATTTTGCCTACTACACTCTACAGAAACTGCTCTCCTAAAACTCACAAACGACTTACTAACCGCTAAAACCAATGGTGACTATTCCATACTCTTACTCTTGGACTCTTGTTGACCACCTCCTCCTCCTCAAAAAACTCTATTGGTCTCTGTGAACGTACTCTCCGTTGGTTTGAATCTTGCCTATCTCACCGCACCTTCAGTGTCACTTACAACTCTGCTTCTTCCTCTCCTACTCCTCTTATCGTCGGGGTCCCCCAAGGTTCTCTGTCCTTAGACCTCTCCTATTCCCGATCTACATTTATGTCTTGGGTCAGCTGATAGCTTCCCGTGGTTTCCAATACCATTTCTATGCTGATGACACACAAATATATCTCTCTACTCCTCAGCTCACCCCATCAGTTTCCTCATGCATCACCGATTTACTAACAGACATATCAGACTGGATGTCATACCACTTCCTAAAACTCAATCTATCCAAAACTGAGCTCATAATATTTCCTCCCTCTTCGATCCTCCCAAAACCTTCTGCTCTCTAGTTCCTGTGTCACCTCCTCCCATGTTTGCCTCCAGGACTTCTGAGCTTCTCCCATTCTATGAAACTCCCTACCCCAATCTGTCCGGCTATCTCCTAATCTATCCTCCTTTTAGACGATCCCTAAAAACCTTTCTCTTTAAAGAAGCTTATCCTGCTCTAACTAGTAAACTGCCTTTTATTTCCTCCTTCAGCTCATCCTCCACAGCTATTACCTTTTGCATCACTCAACCCTTCCTCCTAGATTGTAAGCTCTAACAAGCAGGGCTCTCTGTTTCCTCTTGTACCAAATTGTATCGTAACTGTAATGTCTACCTTCATTTTGTAAAGCGCTGCGCAAACTGTTAGCGTTATATAAATCCTGTATAATAATAATAACAACATACAGTGCTCAGCATACATGAGTACACCCCAACAGATTTGTCAGAAAACCTTTCCTTTCAGAGTCAACATTTTCTATGAGACACTATACTACAAAATACTGCCACAAATGAGGGCCATTAATTGCAAACAAAATTTGTTAATTTGCATACACAAAAAAGTATTTTTCCTAACATATTCATTCAAGACCATGGTGCAAACATGAATACACCCCAATGAAAGTCTTCAGAGCAAGGCTAAATTTTAGACAACAAAATCCTAATTAACCAGAATTCATTAAACAGGTGTCCAGCAGACAGTTGACTATATAACAAAGAAAACCCCTTTCCATTTCATGCTGTCAGCAATGGCACACCACATGGAAGAGAAATGTCGCAAGGCCTGAGAAAGAAAATAATTTCTTTGCACAACAAAGGTAAAGGCGACAAGAAGATCAGCAAAGCTTTACTTATCAGTCAGAATACTGTAGCAAAAGTGATAAAAAAATTTAACAAAAATGGAACTGCAACCATCTCACAGAGATGTCCAGGCCATCCATAGAAGTTAACACCTCGACAGGAGCATCTTCTGATGAGAAGGGTTGAATAAAATCTCCATGCAAGTCACTGCAGTTAGCTAAAGAAGTAGTAAACCAAACTGGGGTGATTGTTTCCTGTGACACAATACGGCATTCACTGCAGAGGAATGGCATGCATGGGTGTTGTCCCCGAAGGAAGCCTTTCCTAAAGTCCGTGCACAAAAAAGCCCACCTAGAGTTTGCCAGAGCCCATGCTGAAAAAGAACACTACTGGGACTTTGTACTCTAGAGTGATTTGACCAAGATAAATGTTTTTGGAACTGATGGCTTCAAAACTGTATGGCGTTGCAAAGATAAGGAGTACAAAGAAAAATGCATGGTGCCTACAGTAAAACATGGTGGTGGTAGTGTACTTCTGTGGGGCTGCATGAGTGCTGCTGGTGTCGGGGAACTGCATTTCATTGATGGTATCATAAATTCACAGATGTACTGCTCTATACTGAAAGAGAAGACGCTACCATCACTCCGTGCCCTTGGTCACTGTGCACTTTTCCAACATGACAGTGAGCCAAAACACACATCTAAGGCCAGAAATTTTGCATTTCTGAAGAACAGGGTGAAAGTGATTCAGTGGCCAAGTAGGTCTCCTGATCTGAACCCAATCGAACACCTATGGGGAATTCTGAAGAGACAAGTTGAGCATCACTTGATCTGTCTCTGCGGTGCATTTAGCATTTTTGCACGTGTTTTTCACAAGTTTTTTTATGCATTTTGTGTTTTGTTGTTTTTTTAGTTTTTGTTGTTATGCAGGTTAAAAACACATAATAAACGCACTGCATGCGTTTGTGCCTCGTGTTCATTGAAGTCTATTGAACCAAAAACGCACCGCGTCCCTGACTCTTTCTAAAAACGCAGCAGCTGAAAAACGCATAGATGTGAACGTGTCTCATAGGAAACCATGCTAAATGGACTGTA